GTAGTTACAGTTGATACAAGTTACTTAAGAATGACACTGAATAAGCATTTGGTTATTTGGAAATGACAAAGGAGGTTTCATTTTTAATGTTCATAAGTCATCCAAATTAATTAGTGCTTTAAAATGGCAATGAATCACTTCCCGAAATAATTTGTATTGGCTAAATTAATTCCAGAGAAGGGAGCCAATTTGCTGATTGTAAATTATCAGAGTCCCTGACTAGCTCCTGTGTACGTTGTGTACCATTTATTAGGCTACTGGCAAACAAAGGATGGCTACTTTTCATCAATGAACAAGATTACAGCCCTATTAAGTGACCAGCTTATTACGGTACAATTATAGGTTTCTATTTAAAGAATTCAAGCCAGACATTAAGAAACAAAGTTCAGAGGAAAGGAAAAATAAACTCGTTTTCTGAAGAGATGCACCAAAAACCTATTTGAAGGGAATATGTCCATCCTTTTAGATTAGCAAAGAGAAGTTCAGAGACGCAAGACTAATTATGAAGATAACTCCATCAGATGACAGTACCTAAAGGCAACCTGAAGCCTCGAGTCCCATAGCCTGCTTCTCTCACTCATGGCTAGATGATTGTTTTGAGACTCCTCTAAATCAAAATGACTTTGGAAGAGCGACGATGAGGTGAGAAGACACATACACAGTTTCTGCTCTCCCCCGTCGGGCAGAGGAGATGATTTCATAGCACTGCCATGCCACTGCTCTGAGAGCCTTCCTCCCAGGTGCCAGGAGACCTCTGCATCCATCCAGCATGTACCACCAGCCACCCGCTCACCGCAGCGAGATGACTTGGTTAAAGTCTGCAGCGCTTTTCTCAGTGGATTTCCCCTCCTTACCCCTTTAAAAGGAAAAAACAATTAAAGTTTTACCTAAACTAATTTGCATGGCATTCTCCTGCTCTTATCTGCATCTCCTTACCGGTATCAAAGCCTCGACATTTCTGCTTGAGAAATCTTTCCCTGGCTAACCTGCTTATCAGCAATAATGAATACTCATGCAAACAGGTACAAAATTAAATGGCTTCTTTACAGTGATTATGATAGATTGAGCCATGCTTAATCTACATAATCAAATTGCTTCTGTGTTCAGCAGTAATACCTTTTTGCTGTCCTGGGAGCAGGTTCAGCCTTGGTTTCTCTTTCGACAGCTTCTTTCTGAGAAACACTAAGCATGACTGGGAAAGGGGCTACTTGAGATGCAATTATTTAACACAGCTGTATGAGGCAAATCTCAAAGTCTGCAATATGGCAAAGCAGGTCCAAACAAAAGGTGTGCCCTTTAGGGAAGAGGAAATCATCACATAGGACACACACAGCAGAAAACGAAGTCCAGCTACTATCCACGTACCTAGACAAAACTGGAGTGACCCTCCCAAGACAGATAAAACATCTCTACCCACCTAGCTGCAATGAGCTACCACCACTACTATAATTTCCTCTCCCTATATGCAAGGGCATCATCTGCTTACATGCTAATGAAATAGAAGAATGTATTTTCCAATCTCAAGACCAGATTCGTGTTTCAAATCAAGCTGGCTAAATCTTGCTGAGGTGCCAGAAACACAGGATGGCACAGGTATGTTATAAAATCCTTGACTTGGGAAACAGAAGTATTTGGTTCAGGGAAGGTTCTGAAACGCATCTCTCTGTCCTGAGATGTCCAAAAGTGTCTTGAAGCTTTCTCTACTTTTAAATACCGATCAATTTTTAGAGTAAAATGAGAAGTGAGAAACGGTTTTCCCCACAAACTATAAATAAGTGCTATTTAAAAAATATTAAACTGCCTATTTACCTTTGTCCAAAACACAGCACCAAAAGAAGCAGAGCAAAGGTTTGCTTCCTCATGTACCTGCTGAGAGGTTTTTTTGTTTGCTTGGTTTTTTTTCCCAAAGAGTCTAACAAAACTATTAGCCTACAAGCTAGTGCTTATTTCTAAACATCACCTAAGAGTTGAAAAGTGAGTAAGCCTAATGCAAAATGCTAATAAGCATTTACGGAGAACAATTTCTCTCCCTCGTTATGGCTTTGACACACACGGAAAGAAGGTTCCAGCTGGACCTCTGCGGTTGGAAAGGTGACAGCTCCAGCAAAAAGGTCCCTGCATCTTCGTAAGCAAAGGAAAACCAACGCAGAGGGGAAAAAAAAAAAAGATGGGTTCTGGCAAGGGCTGCTGGCACAGCTTGACTTTGGCTCAGGAGGAAGTAAAAGCTTGAATTACATAAAAATAGATTTAAGGAAGAATCAATGACATTTCATCTGAAAGTTTTAGTTAAGTTTTAATTAGGATCCGAGATTTTGCACTTAAGTGCATGAAGTGAAGGAGTATATGTACTCATACTTCCCAAGATAACTGACAGATCTGAAACTTACTCATCTCATCTCGAAAGGTTAATTAAAGAACAATCCTTGAAAGCAACACCGTAGGGAAACCGAGGAGACTCTGCTCCACCGGGGAGCCCTGGGGAAAGGCTGGCACGCAGCACCCGCATCTCCCCCCTTGGAAACGCTCCAGGTAGCAAACTGAAGCTACTGCCCAGTGACCATGGCATGGAGGCAAGCAAGACGGCTTTGAACCAGCCCAGCAAGGCACGGAGAACAGCACGCCCACGGCAGTATAAAGCTCACCCGCCGCGCTCCCTGCGGCTCTGGGGCAGGTTTCCCAGCCCACGCCGGGCTCTGCGCTGCTGCTAGGCTGGAGCTGCTTCGATGCACGCGCCCTTCAGCAGAGCAGGCGCGATCACCGCCCGGGGTGGAAGGTAGGTGTGGTAACTCTTATAATTAGGAAACTAAGGCAGAGTGACTCACCCAGGATCAAAGTCTGCAATTAAGCGAGAAATAGGCTGTGGGTTCCCCGATTCCCACAGATGCTGACAGCACTGTGAGGCAAAGGCCTTCTCTAATTCATCCGAGCATCATTAAAAAAAAACACGTCAGCTTTAGGGAAGCCTGTATATACGAGGCTCCTTTGAAAAATTTTATGCCAAATTTAAGAAGAGTTATCAAAATGGAGAATAAAAGTTTCGTCGTTTGAGCAAGACTTTGTGGACATCAGTGACCTTTGGCTGTGTAATTTAATTTCCTAAGAACATGAGCAAAGTCTCAATTAGGTCAGAGAGGATCACTGTGCCGGTACAAGAGGGAAGAGAAATGTGCGGCTGCATCGGTGAAGAGTACTCCGGGGGGACTGGAGATATGGTGCAAGGAAGCATTAAGGCCTCTTGGCAAAAGCAAGTGAGGCTGCTTGCTCAGTATGTAAAGCAGGATGGCATGCACCATAGGCAGAGGTAAAACACAGAAGCAAAACACTCAGCCAGTGGCTCTCAGATCACAGGCAGCTTTTTGCTGCTTTCTTTACAAACGAGAGCCAGGTACTGTGGCTGCCACGGCAGAAACAGGCTAATTTAAAAGAAGCCCAGGGAAAAGCAGAGGAATGATGGGGGAAAAAAAAAAAGATCAGAATAGCGACAGATTCTGAATGCTGCTTAATGGACTGAAGCCTGAACATTATTTGGTGCAATCTTGATGGGCCTGATTTAACTATTACATTTTTGCACAATGTTTTTCATACTGGTTATGAAGAATTGCTTGACAGCCCTTGGTGACTGCTCAAAAGTTTGTCAGTCACTTAAGCAGAAGGTCTAACAGAATAAAGCACATTAATCAGAGGCAAGGCTGATAAGGAGCCGACGGCAACAGAAATAACACCGGGGTGAGACATCACTGTTAGTCTGTTGCCTGTAGAAAAGCTGCACAGGAGGTCAGCGGGCAGGACAACCCAACACAGAAACACTGCAGTGAAGAAAGTTCAGGGAAGGGCGCTTCTGGACACACAGGTTCCTGCAGCACATTTTTATCCAGCAGAAAGACGGATTACGCCAACTTCTAACAGCCACTCTTCATCTGAGATGTGACATCTGTGTATACCAAATCCTCCTAAATCCCAGCCAGAAAGAAACTGGTGACCCTGCATCACTTAGTCTCATGCCTAGCGTTCAACCACAACAGTCCACTTTTTACTTTTAAATCGAAAGTGCCATTTCAGACACTCAGGTTTATTTTTATTTTGATTCACAAGCGTCTATCTGAACCAAGTTTATGCCAGTGTCAACTGAATCACAGTTGTGGGGGCAGTTTCTTCATACGGAAACAGATTGGTAGACGTTACCCTTCCAAAACACTATCTTTGTGAACGCAACATCTCAGGACATCAATTAGGCAACATTCCACTTCAGCTGCTTGGAAGACTGTATTTAGGATGAGCTCCTCTCCTCCCCCTCCCAACAAGCCCATTAAGTATCTGATCTGCAAACCCTTGTACGTACAAGAGAGTTACATGCTCAAGTTTCTTCTTTTTTATGCAAGATTTTCAAGAGCACTCTGAATTTAAAAGCAGCGTTTTGTTCTCCAGAGCAGCCTCGTGCTGAAAGGCCACTCTCACAAAAGCTGCGTCAGGTCTGCCTGCAGCATTAGTACACATCCTACGTATATGAATTAAGTGTCACTGGAACAGTCATTGAGGTGACTGCAGCCTGGGCTCGCCTCTTTTACATATCTACTCATCTAAACACAGGGGCTGTATTTCAATGAGCAAGCCCATACAAACACAGTAACATTGAGATAAGGCTCCACAGCAAGTATCTGCAGGTGCCTTCATTAAAGCAACAAGAGAAACCTGCTAATGCACCCACAAAAAAAAAAAAAAATCATTAAGTGCCAGAAATACAATGCTGCTTTTGGGATTTCAGATGCCAAGTGGAGAAATTCAAACACCCAGGTGGAAGAGTTAAGAGTACCACGGTCCCTTCTCCTCCAGCATCCCCCAGCGTTTCAGTTACCCTGCAGATCTTCACGTTCTCACACCGATCTGCAATACCCATAAACAGGAAAGTACCAAGTGCAGTCAAACCCTCAGCAATGCTATTTTGTGAGAAAGCAGGAGGCATTCCTTTTGCACCCGGCTGGGTGCCTGAGCAGAAAGCTTACCCCATCTGGTAGTGCCCTCCAGCATACAGCACTCACAAACTCATTTGTGTCATCTTCTTTCCGGTCCTTGTCCAGGACACTTTTGACTGTATCAAACTTGAACGTCAGCAGTGTCTTTGAGAGGCCCTTATAGTATAGGTAAAGGGAATTATTTTCGCTTCCTAGAAATAAAGAAATAAATATCCAAGATGAGATTCTGGTAGCAGGCACAAAAATAAGGCTTCTTAGCTCTTTCACTGTTTAAGACAAGACCAGACACTTCCTCCTTGTAGTTATCATCACGCTTGTGGTGCCTTGGCAACTGGGAGTGCTCCACAGCAAACTTTCACGATGCTTAATAACAGAACCAGGTTTTATTACAAGACAACTGCAGTATGCAGCACACTTGCAAAACATACAGGATCCCAACCGTCCCCCACAACTTCCTTAGGGCAGAGTAGAGCATCTATGCTACCACATGAAACACTGCTACACCCAGCCTGCTCGGCGTTACAGCTCTGAGGCAGGTAGCACTGCCACAGTTTTGCTTGCTGTAATCAAGTATGACAGTTTGGTCTGCGGAGGTTTAAGTAAGAGAGACTAGACAGTGTGCAGGCTTTATTTAGAAATCCATCCCAATTTCTGCCTTGCAAGCTGTACAGAGATCAGAGTATACACAAGCTAAGGTCCTCCCTTCAGTGCTGGCACAGCTGTCCTGCTCATCCCACAGCAATCAGCCTGTCACTGCTTTCCAACCAAGACCTGTGGATTTACAGAGGTTCAACGGTCCAACTTAAGCGGTTGAAAAGACAGAAACTGCCAAAGGGGTAACTGCTTCAGGATGATTTAGTCTTCTAGGGAGCTGACCACAATGAGGGTGTTAGTGCTCCATGCAGAATGCCATACCAAGTGACAAGTAGAGGACCACTCGTGTGGTCCAGGTTACTGCCCTTCCTCAGGGCATGAGGATGTGTCAGCTGATAAACTTGAAAGATGTAAGTGATATCAACAGTGGCTACATTAGCAGTTGACTTTTGATGACAGCAAGTCTGAATTGTCATATACGAAGAATTCATCTGAAATGGGAGAAAACCAAGTACAGACCCCCTTAGGGCAGGGCTCCTTATGCCACTCCCTGGGAAGGGAAGGAGGGTGGAAGTTCAGAATAATCCTCTAATAAAAAGCCCATGCAGCTAAGTAGCACAACTGCTGGTGTGCTTTGCAACGGGAGAGGCATCAGCTCTGAGAAGTCCCGTTAGCATTTGTCAGGATGGTTGCTCTACTCACCACAGGCGATGTAGTCTCCATTGGATGCGAGCCCTACGAAATTCTTCTCATTGATGTGACCCTTGAAGGAGCGCAAGCAGTGAGGCTTCCCTACGTTCCACAGCTTCAGCTGACTGTCTGTTGACCTGAAAACAATACCTAAAGTTACCCTGCTGCCATATGGCAGGTACTCCTCACTTGCAACCCTGCTCCTTAACACCCTACTTGCAATGTAAACATAGGAAGTCTTAGTGCACTCCAAGAGATTTATCCTACTTCCAATCATATGCAACTCAGCTTGAGCTCAGGAAGGTATCACGTTATTTTAGAAGCCTGTCAAAACACATTACATGTTTCAATAAAAAGCTTCCCCCAAGTATTACTCCTCCTTTCTCCTATCAATTACAGACTCCTCCACTGAACTGTACAGCCTTTGGGCCATCACTGCCTCCTCCAGAGCCTCACAGATGCAGGACACACTGAATATTTTTCTTTTTTTTTTTTTTTTAAACTTCTACAGCATGGACAAAATCTGTTCCCTTCTCCGTGCTGGCTGCAGCTGTCATTCATGCCTTTACAGGACTCCGGTAGGAAGCAGCCTCCTCCCTCTCCAGCTGCCCTGAAAACACGTTCTCCTCCTCCTGCCCAATGCCAAGCAGCAGCATATAAAAACCTATGGGGGCTCAGAGTTGCTATTAGCATTAAATTGATGTGGTTTTCTCATGTGTAATTGAGACTGCATGGATACAGATCTCAAACTTCCACTTTTTTCACCATGGCAGCAAAGCTAAATATTACTATTAAAAATATACAAACTCTGCTGGGATTAAATCAAAATTGATGTTTTCCATTGTTCCCCCAGATGCAAACATACCTGCGTTCAAAATGTTTTTCTGTTTACTGTGAACAAACATTTTCCCTTTGGCAAAAGAAAGGAGGTGGAGGTAGTCTCCTCTGCCTGGCAGAGCTCAACTGAAATAGGAAGATCCCAGGTTTCTGGGAGATACAGGATTAATCTCTTCCCCCAAACCTGAGGGGACACAAGCCCCTCTCACCTCCCCAGCATTATCCTCCAGCAATCGCCAGGCTCTGATATTCTGGCACTCACTGACTTACAGCAATATAATCCACTGTGGGTGAAGAAACACTGATGTGGTGGGACCGGAGCCCTGTGAAGCCACCCTTGAGGAAATGGGTAGTGCTGTTCCGATCTTAAATTTGAAAAAGATTGGGAGCAGGACCTGTCAGCTTCCTAGGTGGGAGGAAAGGGAGGAAGGTAACGCTCCCCTCTTGCAAGTCACATCACCCAACCTTGCTGCTTTCTGAATATTAAGAGCTGAAGGGAAAAAAACCCCACCCAATATCCATCAAATATTACCAACGATATAACACATTAGCCCTGCACCAATGTCACATTTACCTAAAAATATAGCACAAAAAGGAGAGATGCACCTCGTGTTATACTGCAAAAACCTTATCTCTGTCCTCAATGACAGCTGGAATGACAAAGGAGCGATAAGGGAGCTGCAGCAAGATTTGTTAGTCATTTGTAATAATAGTATGAGGTCAGATCAGAACGAAGGTATGAACTTTATCTGTAATACTGTGACTTAAGCA